GATTAATAAACTGTTAGTGTTCTGACTCTAAGTTCCTCCTTTGCACACTTGAATATAAAAAAGGGTAATATGTTTGGACTGAAAAAAACTTTAAACCAATAACAGTGAGCCTTTCAAGCATTCTGTACCAACCGATGAAAAAACTGTGACTGTTGTGTGTACCTGCCCCAATTTTGTATTGGACTTGGCACCTATAACTACTGCTCAGCAGTCACTGAAACCACTCACACATGGAAGAGTGGAATATCAGTAGAAGAATGTTGTGTTAACAAGCGCACAAGATATCAAGTCTAATCACCTCATTACGGTACAAGATAATCCCTCAAAAAGCTATAAACTTCACCATTTAAATACACAGATGTGGATACAAATACGGAAGTGTGTGGAGGAGAAAAGGATACAGACTTAGCAAATAATAGAATGCAGAGCTTTTAAAGAAGTTTCTACCATTTTCTGAATGACCTTTCCAGGAGAAAAATCATAGAATCATAGAATTAACTGGTTTGGAAGAGACCTTCGAGATCATCAAGTCCAACCCCAAAAAGATGCTATTTGTTTCCTGAGCTGTATATTATTAGTTCCATCAGCATGCATTGAGAAATGATGAAGGCTACTACAGTACACAGAAATTATCTGTTAAAAAAGCAACTAAAATTAACTGAAATTACTATAAAACACAGGTGGGGTTTTGTTTTTTGGGGGGTTTATTTTTGTGGGTTTTTTTAAAAATCTATCTATTAATTATATAAATGTTAACTACAAAAGGATAACTTTCTTATGTAACTAATAGGGCTCCAAAAATGTAACAAGAAACCAACAAACTTAGTCACTGATATTTTACAGGGAACTTCCTAGTGTTTACCTGGTTGTTGATAAAAGTTGCATTATGGAGGCACGTCAGCCATCCTGACTCCTACCTTCATACCAGAAACAAGCCAGAATCATACTGAACTAGATTTCATGAATACATGTGATGTTTAAGTGCAATACAGAGCTTGGTGCACCTACCCACCATGACGTCATTAGATGAGATTATTAGTACATGAAATTCTTGTTGTCAATAATGTCAGAAATCGCAGATCTACTGTCATTACTAAAAGGTTGAATAACTCAAATTGTTTTATTATATCCCTCTCCAGTTCACAAAAGAAAACTTAATACAGATCTATTCCTATTCAGTGTTCCAGGGCAGCAGGTAGCTCAACTGGAATGGCCAATATATTTCAAGGACTGGTTTTGCCATCTCTTCGTATTTAGCTGTCTGAAAATATTTTACAACTTGATCACTAGCCATGAATTTGGAAGTTATTTTCATCTAGGATTCAATTTGTTCTACATTTTCTAGTTGTTCCTTGGCATTCTTATAAATAATACTAAACAAGTTCCCCACTGCAGATACTAAGATCTCAATTTATACCGGTACTAATCCCATCCCTAAACTCCATTGACACTATTTCAAAATTAGGATCTTGCCAACTACAGTGATAACTTAATTTACAGGTACTTTTAAGCAGTTGGAAATATCATTTAGAAATAACCAGTAAAAGAATAAAGTGGATCACTAATTAAACTCTTGCATACATATGACAACACATGATAGGACTTGCTATAGAAGTCTATCCATGGTAATTTTTCCAAAAGCTTGCTGTATCTAGTAAAAAGGTCATTAAGATCATCAGCTATGAAGAAAAAAATTCAGCCTTTTTCAACCATGAAAGAAGATAAGCACCCAGACTGCCATCACTGCAGAATGACAAACATCCTACCATTTAAGGAAAACATTTTTAAACTACCCCTTTACAAATAAAGAGAGGTAAAGAGGGTTCATTTATTAAAGCATAAAGTTTGGTTTCAGGCTTTAATCTGTGCTCAGCCTCTGACATCTGCCAGAGGTTTAAAAGCAAACACCACACAACCACAACAGCAATTATATTTGTTCACTTAACTCATTCTAAGCTCCCAATCGACCCACGGGAGAAAGGAAAAAAAATGGCCTTTTCTAGCAGGTAACCTTATTTTGTAGATGGACGTCATAACCCACAAGGGAGTTGCTCAACTGTCATAGGCATCCAAAGTGTCAGAAGACTTACAGCAGGCTTTCTAATTACTCATTTTCTTCAGTGTTTGTATTTACTTATGAGAAGACTCTCTCAAGGGCTACAGTAGACAGTCTACTACTATTGGAAACAGGCAAATGTTTGACCTCTGCTCCTCATTTATTTTCCTACAAAAATATTTTGTGACCTGATCTAAATTAGTGCCACCAGTTACACTCCATCCCTTTCTCATTCTGGCTTAGATATTACTTATTTAAAAGGAGTGACCTTGTTACCATTTCAGAACTTGGCATTTGCCTGTGTAGAACTGAGGATGAAAACAGTGTACACAAGAAGCTAAAGACCTTCTGGAGCGGATTTTCCCCCTACAACAAATTAACCACCACATAAATGACTAAAGTTGACTATTTTAACATAAATATTTAAAATCATATTGGTAAAAGAAACCATAAAACCTGTGATTCACTTATACTTCTTTAGCAAAGAAAAACAGGGATTACTTTCATTACTAAAAGAGAGTTTGTTACCCAGTCTAGTGCAGACATGAGTGCCTGTGGACTTAAACATTACCCCTGCAACCTGCATAGCAACTTCCATCTGCAGACAACCCAATATTCTCAGCTTCTACATGAACAAAGGACTGCAAAAGTGTGCTCTAACACACAAGTCCTCATGTTGCCAAAAATACATACATTTATGAACAATCATAATCCAACAGAATGACAGTTCAAAGAAAACTTAAAGAAAAGCAGTTTTCTGAACCCATTAGGGGAACGAGAGAGAATAAGATGATCAGCTGCAGCATGAGGGTAAGGCCTACCACGTGAATATTCCAACCTCATTCCAGCTTTTGTGACAGAAAAACCATTTTTGAACTATGTAAACTGGAGCTTTTTTGTTTATATCTTCTTATTCCATCAAAGTACACACTGTGACATGTTAGATCCAGTTGTATAGGCACCATGGAACAAAAGCAGTGTCACGAAAGATTATTAGCAAAGTTACAGATGAGGCTGGGAGCAGTTTCCTGTAGATCAAGTGATTATGAACAATGTGACTATGTACAATTGTGAATAAAATTTCTAAATCTATGGGTTTGGTTTGATTTTTTTTCCTAAGGAATATACTCAACAGCAAACCTGCTCCACAGTCCTGATTCATGAGACTGTTGGACAGTCACATATTTTGAGCATCAGTGACATTCCCACACCTGTTTAAAACTGACCGTGGAACAACAATTATAGCGTCAGGGTAAAAAAAAAAAAGCCTAAGAAAATTAAAAAAAAAAAAAAAATAAAGAAAATCAACTTACATTCTACTCTGCCAGCAGGTATCTTATGGCTTTTCAGAAGACTCAGAGCAACTACAGAACCACAGCCATTCATCTTACTAGTGCATCAGCACCAAGTGCAATCAGCAGTCAAAAATTCTGCATTGCTAAACAAATTATGTGCAACGCAATCTTTGCTTTATGGAGTTTACATTTCAAAGAAAATGCTGAATAGGGAAAAAGCACTATCAAGACCTGTACTTCAAAAACAGGTGATACGACCAGTGATTAGACAGGAAGAAAGACAACAAAGTAATCTCAAGTTGCTGCAAATGCATTTAAGAATCTATCCTTTATGCTGTTAAGTTAATAATTATCAACACTTCTGACTCACACCTCTTATCTCTACACAGAGCATAGAATATTCTACAGTAAATGAGGTCAATAGTTTTGTAGATAAAATATAGAAGATAAATTGAGCAACAGTGAAAGAAATCTAACCTCAAAATCACGCAAAATATTAAATAACCATTCTGCACTCTCACACATTACTGCATAATCACTGCATTTCTGAGCTGAAGACAACTGTTTTCTTTCCTGCTCCATAAAATAAAAATGGTTTTCTTGTCCTTGAATGATTATTCCAAAATTTCATTTTATCCATATTTATTACTGGGATGATTTCATAAGCCATAACAAAAAGCAGAGAGATAAGCACACACACTGAGTAAGCATTTCCATACATATCTTTGTTTTAACAGATTTCTTGTCTCCCTAAGCTGGTTTTCAGCACAAAAATGAGGATTTTTTTCAATATGTTCATTTTGCTGATGGGAGCCCTAAAAATGTACTAGTATTATACAAATCCTTCCAGTTTCTTGATTTTCTTAGTCTTTAGATAATTTCAGTCCATTTCTTTTCTTAACTACTCATTACTGTCCCCCATTAGTATCTACTATCTCTGGAATTCAAGCTCTGACCACAAGAAAGTAAATCTTTAATTTAAATGAATATTTACCCAGAAGTAATCACCCCTGCTGATAGTTAGTTGTCATTCTGTATATCTGCACTAGTCATAACAATTGTGGCATTTGACAGCTCAAAGAAACTTTTCATTGCTTTCTGGAAGAAAGCATTTTATCCTCATGTATACTCATGAAATACAACTATATTCAGTTTAACTTACTTCAGCCTACTGCTCTCTTAATTCCTTAATTCCTAAAGGATAGGTACAAGTTTGACAAATCTGCATGTACCAATAAAGCAATGCAAAGAGATCACCTGAAAAGGCATAGCTAAAAGAATCACAAAGATTATCCAGGTACTGCGATCTGAGTGTGATCTTAACTAAAGTAGTTGCATCAAAACCAAAGAATTTATCTGTACGTTACTTTTTATTTTTCAAGCTATCAATATGTAAACAGTTTTTGTCTTGTAACATGATACAATACACTATATCCACATTTCAGCCACCTATGCCTGTTCCTAAAAATTTAACCCTCTTTGTGATGCTTAATGTTGCAGTCCTTGAGGTCACTTGGCATCACAACTAACTAAACTGATTCTGCTTCTTAAAACAATCAGAAGATAAAGTTAGTTAAAAGAAAACTAAAAGAAAACAAAAAGCTGAGTACAAAGGGTTACAAGAATTAAACTAAGTCTAGAACCAACACCTTTAGCTTTGATCCATGGGGCACAGCAGGACAACCATCTTCTCTAGGTGGAATGAACAACTCCCACTTCCCATATTCCAACTTCTTATATGGATGGGAAAAAGGATTCCAGCCATCTGCAATACAAGAAATAACACTAAGTATTTATCTTGAAATGTGTCCAATTACAACTCAAAAGCATTACACTGTGTTCCATCTTCTTCAAAGTTAACTTCAGTAAAGTAGGCAAATGCTTTTATATCTGATACTATCACACACATTCAAAGGTGGTAAAATGAAGTATGTAAGAGTTTCACTGTGAAACCACACTCCCATTCTAATTTAACAATGATTAAAGTATTTCTACCTTCTTGTCTTCCATTAAGTCAACACAATGCCCTCCTTCACCCAAAAGCCTATTGATTTCAATATCACAAAATCATAGTGATAAGAAAACTAGTGGCTGAAAAGTAAGGCTTAATGTACATTTCAAAACAAAAACCTCACACCCTAAACAAGTCAGCAGAAATACTTGATACACAGAACACTTGAAAAACCAGTGAGCAAATATTGGTTATGGAGAGGGGAGGTGGACAAAATGTAAGTAAAACCACACAAACTGCTCGCTGCCTCTATTTTGACAAGCTGATATATAAAATAAAAGTGTATAAAGTAGGAGAAACACAGGGAAAACTGCAGACAAACCTGGTAGCAATGGCTAGAAAACCAGACAACAACACAGCCAGGAAATGTGGCCTGAAGTGCCAGTTTTAAGTCTTGAGGAAGATGACTTTTTCCTTAAAAAAATTTATAATTAAATTTTTATAATTTAAGATTGTTAGTTCTGTTTGGATTTCCCGAGCACTGGAGATGGGCAAGGTTGGTCATTATGACATGCCCAGCTGAGCAGACACCTGTCAAGGTGTGCTTGCATGTTTGCAGGCATGCCCAAGGTTAATTCATATGACTGAGAGGGAATATATTGCTTCTGAACTGACAACTGTGGCAATGAAATCATTTCCAGAAGGAAATAGCAAGCTAAGTTTGAAAATTACCTTTTTTTTTTTTTTGCCTTAAAACATGTCTATCCCACATAGTTCAAGGCAACAGACTCCTCAGCTAAAAAGAAACCAGTCGACACAGAAAATTGAATTACAAGACATTAAAGCAACATGTGCTAATCTTCCTTCATGGTAATTTATTTGCTTGCTATGGCCTGTTATAATTAAAAAAAAAAACCCACAAACCAAAAACCACACCTCAGCGAAAGAAGAATAAGCAGACTCCATCTAAGAGTATTAATCTAAGCTCATATAAAACAACATTGCAACTAAACATGGCAGTCAAGGTTAAAAGCAATTCAATTAAAAAAATGGACACGCAACCATAGAAATCAACAGGGGAAGTAGAGACATGAAGGGATAAGTCAATCAACATGTATATTTCCTTAAACACCAGTAATCAAAAATATTGTCTGTTGTGCAACAGAAAGATCATCTTCTCTAACAAGATATGGATGTCTTGAGTTTCAGAAAAAAGACCAGGCTGCTTTCAAAGCTGCTCCTTGCACTTACACAATTGTTTAAACCTGAGAACTGCCAATCTTTAAAGAAAACCGAGAGGTACCAATCAAACAGGCCAGACAATGTGACAAAAATAACTGTGCAAGATAAATCTTCTAGTACCTATTCATTTTACAGTAGAGAGCAATGTCAAAAGCAATAATAAAATTATAAAACGTTTCCCACGCTCAAAAACACAAATGCAATTAATTCAATACTCCGTTTAGATGATAGTTTTTATCACGATTAAAGTATTTGGATAGTGCAGACAAATTACACATATTAGCAGAAAGAATGTATTTACTGAACTATTGCTTGATTAACAGCAGAAGAGCTTGTGTATTAGTAAGATTTGGATGGGCCCTCCCCATTGGTTTTATTCTGAAGTTCCAATCAAGAAAAATAATGAAATTAGCACTACTAGCATCTACAAAGACCAACATCAAACAAACAACACCTCAGCAGTAAAGTAACACTCGTTAACAGAATGTCTAAACTGAAGAGTATAGACAGTATAATATATTTATTTATGTATTTCAGGGCATGGCAAAAGAATGTAGAATACATCACTAGGATTTTGTGACACTAAAAAAAGGTTAAATTTTTTTTTTAAGCTGTAAATAGCTAGACTGAAATAAACATTTCAGGCAAAAACAAACAAACAAGAGACAGATGAAAAATGTAACAATGTTAAGAAGTTGCAAGAAGACAGCTTTAAAGAACTGGTCAGGATTTATGATGGTCAAGACTCGTCATGTGGGATTTACTTCTAATTCTTTCAGTCTTCTCCCCCCAGATATCCGATCATCTTCATTGCTTCTCATAAAACTCTTCCCATTTGAGCTGTACCTCTTGATTACAATGCACAAACTGAACAAAGCATGCCAGGCCATGACTTGCTAATATCGAGCAAAATAAAATGTTATAACAAAAAAAAAAAAATCTCAGGTCCAGTTTCTGTAACTCTGGGGAAACTGCACAGAGTTCATTATTTACACCAAAACCACTGAATTCTTGCATTGTTAAAGAAGTTCTCATGGCTGCTATTAAAACATGTCTCTTCCCTCCCTCACAGGACGAATGTTTGCCTGTCTCTGCCTGTTTAAAATCTCTGCTGTCCCCAGGCAGATTTGATAACTCTGCCCAAGTTGCTTAAACTTTCCCCTCCACCTGCCAGCAATACCAGATGCTCCTATTAATCCCTCCTGTTCCCAGGCACAGTCCTTCCTGATTGAGTGTCCATGGTTCAGGACTTAAGACTAAATGCAAAGCAACAACCATCTGCCCCAGATGGTCCTACTTAAAACCACTGTTTGCTGCTTATCCCTGGACAGGAGCTCACTTTGGAAGGTTATAACAGAAAATATTGATTTCTATTAAGGCAAGAGGCATAAAGATTTTAAAACACCTTGAAAACTTCCTTCCAAGAGGAAATGGCTCAGGCTTCTCAGTTTTACTGCTTGGTTTTCAGATTTTTCAGCAAAACTTAGCCCAGAATGCCTTAGGGGACAACAGAAAAAACAAATCCAACCAACCAGCAACTGATTAACAGATGCAGAAAAAAAAAGAAGTCAAAAGAAATATCTTCGACTGAGAACTGAGACTTCAAAGACTCTGCCAATAGCTACAAACAGAAAAAGGCTGAGAAGATTACCAGAAGTTCAAATAATCAGCTCGAACAGAACTTAGGAGAAAAGGACCCCACCAAGGAATATCCATAAGCCCTGCAAAAATATAAAAGCTTTGTGCAAAAGTTCAGGCCCCAGATACATCTTAATCCAACACAGAAAGCATCTTCAATAGCCTGATACTTTCATTTTCTCTCATCAGTGATCACATCTTCCAATATGATCCAATTATTTAAACACTACATCCTATCTCAGCAACATGAGGCACAGTGGAACTTTTTGCTCAGAACCCTCAGCATGCCAAACAGTCATGAACTGAGCTTTAATCTAGAACTGAATTCAAAGCTATAATGGCTTGGGTTCTACCATTTGTCATGAAACTCAATTTAAATGCAATACTTAAATGCAATACAAAGCTAAATCATCATTTAAGTGACTTGTTGTCGATCTACTGTTTTCAAAAATATATAGCTGTACAGCTCTGAGTCTCAAGGCTTAAACTGGGAGTTGCAGACCAAAAAATAAACACTTCTCTTGCTTCTCATAGAGGAAAGGATTCTTGCATTTTAATTATTTAATTAATCACTGCCTTTTTCCATTTAAGAGCTGATACATCAGTGCAATGCTGCAGCTATTTTTTCAAAAGTGAAAAGACTTCATAAACTGAGGTTGAATTCTCAAGTGAAATAAACCCATCTCTCACAGCAACTATATTTCCACATTCCACATCCTTTTTGATCAGTTGGAAAATGCCTAAAGAGAATACAGAGTCCAGCAAGCATTCACACAGTGACCTTGAGGAAAGTATATCAGACAAGTATCAGTTCAGACAAGGGAGATGACATCAAAATCCCACTATTCCAACAAGATACCTTTATTGTACTTTATTAGAATATGAAATCAGAACATAAATGGAGAGATTCTCCAAGGACACTATACTGTTCTACACAGTGGCCAATTAGGTCTTCTCCCACACTGCCTTATTTCCAACAGTTCGATAGCAGATCATTAACATAGTCTGCTTAAAAAGTGATTGAACAGCTGAAACACTGACATAAAAACAAGTGTCATTACTTCTCAGATAGGATCTTTCCCTGGACATTATATCAGCTTATACTTCAACCTTCTGTAGCCACAGAACATAAAGTCATTATTTGACTTTACTCATCAAATCTTGGTATTTTTCTATAAAAATCTTTGAAGAAAACAGTAAGCAGTTCAGCATGATATTATAACAGTATCTAGAAGCCATTTTGGTAAAAGTCTGGAGAAGAAAACCCAAAACACTCTGATATGAAGAGTTTTCAGTCAATTGTCAGATATTCAAATTATGAAGGCCAGTGGCTTAAGCTCTCCTTTCTTCACTCTGAAGGAGGCCTGTCAGGGTTTAAATAATAAATAAACATCCACCCCAAAGCAGTCAGTCCACTCTTCCTCCACTCCCAGCAGAAGCCTCCCCTACCCGTGCAAGGAAGAGGAAGCAAAAACCAAACAGATGTTCCACAGTGATCAGCGTTTCAGATCTCATGTTAGCTGGGAAGGAGATTAAAGAAGGCACATAAAAGAAACAAGTGGACCAAAGAACAGAAATCACAAGTATGACAATATATTATACCAAATACTGACTTCCAAATTAACATATGCATACTTACTCTTACAAACTTTTGGGTTTTTTTTTATTTTTTAACTAAAGTATTGTTATAGGTAACCTACTGAGCCTCTGCATGGCCAAATACAATTTTGAGCATTCTAATTCCCAAACAAATACCTTGGGTTACCCTCAAAACTTGCAGCTCTCAGAGTTATTTTGAAATAGTCACTTGTAAAGTAGCAATAAATTTCCAGCAGTCACCAAGTTCCTCAGCAATACAGACCAGGGATGAAATATTCAGTGTTATCACTGAGAGCTTTTAAAGGACCCATAATGTTGATTCTGCCTCTGGTATTGGGAATTCAGCTGACTAATTGCCTCATACACTTGATTTACTGAGATGCTGGAAGCACTAATTGACAAATCTTAATGGGTTTGGATGTTCATTTAATACTTCTCAGATAGAGTAAAGCATCATACCAGAATGCCAACAGATCTAATACCTTTTTTTTTTTCCTCTCCAGTTATGGAGCTTTAAAAAGACAAAACCAACTCAGTCCTTTCTTGAATTCATGTGTTTCCATTCTCCCATCAAAATACAGATTTGCGTGCTATTACTTGTTTCTAGCTTTTCCCTGGAATGCACAGTGATACTAACAATTTTTCTATCATTCCTTACAAGTATAAAGATATCATTATTTGGGTCAAAATACCCTAACAGCAAAGTTTTGTTGCCTGCTATAAGGCATAAAAGTAATTCACAAGAAACTTTACAGGATTGAGGCTTCACATGTCTATAATTACTGAAATAAATTATTCATGTTTATCTTAAGCACAATTCATAAAAAGCTAGTATCAACTATCAGCTTAATTATAAATATTGAAAGAAGTTCAAGGTCTCTGTACCATGCTTGCCATTATAATTTTTACCAGTTTTCGATTCTCAAAAGCATAAGATGAAATAGCAGGCACTAATATTTTGTTTGATGGAAAGGCACAAAAAAAGACATCTAAGAGACTTGCAGACAATATCCTATTAAGGAAAACACTGCTATTCATCTCCAAAACCAGAGCATAAATGGACGGTTTTCATATTACATACAATCATATTTGTGTTTAAAACCCTGTCATCTAAGTTCAGTGTTTATTCCTTCATATAAGGTCTCCAACTTTCCCCTATATGGTTCCACCACAGTTCTCTTGAGAAAAAGTTTTGTTGTTTTTTTTTTTTAATATTTAAAGCAATCCCAATATCCAATTTAAATACAATATAAACATAAATTTAGTTTGAGATTTTAACCTGATTGAAAACTTAAATAAAGGTTAAAGGGATTCATTTTTAATTAAACATACCTGTAGCAACCTGATCTAAGGTCTTGGGGGTTTGCAACGCAATTTCTCATCAGGATGTTATTAAAGCTCATCTCAGTTGAATGACAATATTCCCCTCCTCCAGGCTTTCCAAGTGCACTTTTGTCCCCTTTCAGAATGAATACTTCACTACAATTTCTGTTATTACTATTATTATTATTTACTGTGATTATTTTTATACTTCACTGATTATTATCACTAATATATAGGAGAAACAAGTTTTCCACATTAAAGTGAATTTCTTTTCAGTTTTTTTTTTACTTCCAACACATTTCATTAGTGTCTAGATAAAACTACTCTAAGGTATTAGTCTGAAAGTTTTGCTTCATATGATGTATTACATTAAATATTTTGAATGCAGCAGAGTTTAGAAAGTCATTCCAGTTTTTAGCTGCTGTGTTCTGGTATATACATACCTCTCCCCTCCAACCTGATAAGCTAACAAGTTACAGCCTCTTTTTAAAATATTAAAAGTTTCATCACAAGTCTGGTTTTAAAATTACCGTCTATTAAAGTACATGTTTGGGACTACTGAATTCTAGCCTTCATCTGCATTGAGTAATTTTAAGACTATTATACCTATCACATCACAGGAAAACCTTGAGCAACAGGCAGGGTTGCAGCAAGTAGAGGAAAGGTAAGGAGGAGAATTTTCTGCATCTTTATACATATAAAGTTAAGCCATTAAAATAACCTCATCTAGCTGTCTTGCAGTTGATATTGATAACTGAAATCACTATTATCTAGTAGTAGGTGACCTAGACACGATTCATTACTTAGTTTTGAATCACAGGACGTATCTGATTGCAATCTTAAAATTCAAGTACTACACTAACCTATTTTATCAATGTCTATTCCAATAAAATGACCAGGAGTACTTCAAGGAAAGCTTCTCTACCGTTCACTGGGTTAACCATATCAAACAGGGTCATGGCTGCAAACAGAGTTGCCTTAACTTTTCTGTTCATCTTTTGCATCAAAACCAGATTTTTAAAATAATCATCGTCTTTAGACTCCGATTATCACCGTGAAGAGTGGACTCTCTCACAAATTTAAACAGACACATTATATAGCTCTGTTTGGAAAATGAAGCATAACGTGAGTACTTCAATGCTTTCCTTTGCTTATTTTGTTTATAAATTTATTGATCTTGTGACTGAGGAAAAACTAAAGTACTAAAGCAGATTGCTATGAAGCACTGAAAAACTTCCTAACAATGGATCTGAACACTAATTTTTATTTGATTTATTTCTTTGTTACTACACACGTTTTTACAGAAGTTTAGCCACAGTACTTTAGAGAGCACCAAGAGATACTACCAATAATGGCATATGTAGTTAATCTTACTTTAAAGTTATCTAAATACATAAAATTGGAAGTTTAGGACTTCCTTCCTCAAATACAGAGTTTGTCCTTTCAAGTTTCCTCAAGGAGATAAAAGGAAAAAGGAATACTCAACATTTAAATTTCTTTTTAAGCACAAGTAGCTAACTCCGTCAAACTGGCAACTCATACACCATTTCGTAATATAGATACCCAAATTGAACATTTCCCCAGGTCAGTATTTTGACAAAATCAAAGTTGGATAAATAACACCACATGCTTCTGAAAAGCAGTTAAATGAACAAAATCATTTCACAGACAAAATCCCTCTTCAGTAAGAACCAGCAAGGAAAGATCAAGTACCTCTATGGACTAACATCTAACCCCGAAGAGACAGAGAAGGGAAGTGAAAGGGAAAAACAGAACAAAGCTCAAAAACCGCAAGCAAAAGAGAGATAGAAACTCGTATTGCAGGATTTAAGAGCAATTATGCATGTCCCTTTTATTTAAGAGTTTGCAGAACAAGATTTGAGTTAGCCAGCCTTCCAAATAAGAAGCAAATTTTTATTTTTGTTTCAAATTCAAACGAAATAGTCTTCCTGGTTTTCAGAGCAAGCAATGCAATTCCTCCATGTAATCCTGTCACCTTCCCATTCTGCTAACATCCTTCTCCCCTCAAAACAGAATAACTACTCTTTCATTAGTATTTTGGTTTGATTTTAGGCTGATATTTTCCAGCAGAACTGTGGCCTACGCTCTCATGATGGGTGAGAATGCTCAAAGGCCTGGGTCCTTTAGACAACACTGTCGCTGATCAGTAAAAGAAGATAAAGCAAATTATTTCACTGTTATTTTTGCTTCTCTGCATACAGTTTTATAAAAGCCTAACTATAGAGCTTTAAAAAGAACCTCTGGCAGTTTAGACACAGCCTAAAGTAGCAGTGCGATGCAGTGTGACAAATTGTCTTATGGGCATTAAGAAAAAAAATGTATAAAACTGATCATACTACAGAAACACATACCTTAATAGGCTACCACAACATAAAGGAAAATATTATTCATTTAAGCCATGGCATACATTTTTACAGTCAGAATTTCATCATCAGTGCTAAAAAAAAAAAAATTGTCTTTAAAGGAAGAGGATATTGATGAAAAACATAGTGCGGGGGAAAAGAAATATTCCTAAGAATACTTACTGAAGTCACCTGCAAGAAACACCGCTTCTGCTCCTGGGGCCCACTCCCTGCAATATATTCCACCTTCCAGAAGCTGGTTAACTCCAAAGGTTTTGTAACTCTTTGTAAATTCATCAAGGCCTCCTTCACATTCCTCAATGTTCTTCAAGTGGTTGTAAAAGAGAGAATACCTTTCAATGAAAACAGAGAACATTTTTTAGAAAGTTTACTAAGTGCCTTGCTTACATAACAAGTGTAAAAAACATCAAGAAAAATAGGTGAAACACACTGACACACTGTACTAATGCTATAACAATCACTGTCTACAAGAAATAGAAAAAATATCAAATACAAACCATACAATTTTTCCACGGTTGTTACATAGTCCAAAGTTGCAACCTTCACATTCCTTGGTGCTTTCTCTACTTTATGGAACAGTTTGCACTTTCAGTCTAAGACTACAACTCCTGATTGGCAGCCAAGAGATCTCAGTATTACCTACACAACAGGAAAACTTCACACTCTGAACAGCCCAGCAGTTTTTCCTCCATGTTATTAATATCAGACACAAACCTCCCAGGGAGAGCTGTATAGCCCTGCTACGTCTCTCAGAGCCAGTTTTAATGGACAGAAAACCTCAGGACATTGAAAAGTTTGCAGTGCAGCACACCAGTAGGGACAAACTAGTCTGGCCCTTGCAGAAAGCAGCTCATTAGGCAACCTCTTTACAGAGACAACCAGAAAGGCTGCAGTCCCTGACACCGCAATGGTTTGGAAAAAATTACAGCTTCATAGAAGTAATTATTTGGACCGTACCCTACTTACACCAGTAGGGCTTGAAATGCTGTATATCTCTAACATAGAACTTTGCCAGTACCAGCTTAGAGGGGTTTGGCATATCTTGCTATGTTCTCTCAAAGTGTGTTTCTGGAATTCATCAGGGCTACAGTATGAAGACAAGAGTCAGCTTTGACTCCTAAAATGTGAGCTGTTGTGTGCAGAAGCACATCGAAAAGCTGCAGTCGAGCATTTAATTAAGGCAACTTGTACAGGTTTTTCTCTTTGTTTTGAAAAAGACACTCCTGTGTTAAATTAGAAATGTGTTTCTGTTTTCCCTAAGTGGTGAGGAGTCTTCTGAAGGGTGTAAAAACTAATGAGAGCCCCAGCAAAAAAAAAAAAAAAAGTATTTTGGAAATGGAAATAGAAACAGTAATGAAGTAAACCAGCACTATGGGATAATACTTTGGTCAAGGGATAAAAAAAGCAGCCTGTTTGCAGTGTCAGGACTTAAGACAAAGCTCTGTGATTTGTTGTAAAATTTTGATTTAGCATTAGCCCTTAACTAGTTCAAAGTAGAAGATTAAAATATATAATTACTGGTTAAAGTAAATAGCATTACCTATATTAATTTAGAGTATTATGACTACTTTCAAGGTTAATCTCCCAGCAGGTTTTTATTACGAAGACTGATGCTCATCTTTAGAGAGAACAAGATTTGAAAATGCCTCCAGGATAAACCACAGCAAATACACTCAACTTTTTGCCCATCCACCTGCACCATTCCCTTAACATTTGCTCACGGGTATAATCCTCAGAAGTGCATTACTAACTCCTCCTGCTCTGACAATCAACTCATTTATAGTGCTTGAGGGAGAACATTTTGTCAGATTTCCAACTACAAATGTATTATGTACACACACACAAACTCAGTTGACTGACTCACATTTCAACCAACTGCAACCACAAATATTTGCATAAAGTTTAAATACAGAAACAGAGCAAGTCACAAATAGCCTCAAAAGCTCAACATATATCAATTGGTAAAGTCACATCCCTCCAGTATTGAAAGGTTCTCCCTGGGGAAAACAAACAAACCAAAAACCAAAAATCAAAAACAAACAAAAAAATCCAGTAGAGCATTGCAATATTAAGTCTTTCTTTAAAATATGTCAGTTATATGATACAAGAAGTTTAATTACATATATACACACACAAGAAGTATATCTCCTCGATAAAGGAAAAAATATATATAAAAAGAAGTAAATTTGCAGTGTCATCTGCAAATCCCTATTTCTCTACTGTAGATAGATGCCCTGCATTATTTTCACCTCATTCCACTGCAGCTGAAGTAAGAACTGCTATGCTACGGGAAGCTACTGTAACTCCAAACAAGATCTAACTGAAATAATGAGTTTGACACAGGTAAAACAGAAAGGGTGTTTTGGAACATGTTATCTAATTAAAATTAATCTTTCCCTCTCCATTCTTGCCACAAATACAATTTCACAGCTTGAAGAACACCTTTGGCTGAATGGGGTATTTCCCACATTCAGGAAAGAGGGAGAGAAGTGGTGAGCTTCATCTTGAAACAAAAGTCAACCACAAACCCTTGAAAGCTGAAAAAGAAGAAAATTATACATGTTTTTACCAAAGAACAGCAGGGCAAAGAGAAGGACTGAAAGCTCTGTGCAGCAAAGAAAAAGGCTTATAAACTTCACATAATCTCCCTTGCCCATGGTCTACTCATCCTCAGGGTGAGCCCTCCCTAGCAAAGAGGAACCAAGCCCATTCATCTCATTCCAAGGAAATAAGCAGCAAAGAAATTCAGGATTTGAGTGTGGGTGGGATGAAAATGGACTTACAGAATCACATAACTGCTTTCTGAATCTTTGGGAAAAATCATAGTCAGTAATACACACAATACAAGCTCTACATTCTTGTTATAGGAGCACTAAGAGCACATCCATGGCTTCAATTTTTATCTTTCAGAGTTTAAGCCAACAAAGAGACCATGGCATTCAATATGTGAAAGGATCACGACTATCAGTGACAAAAAAGATCACTCTCTGCTCACTTTGCAGTAGAAGAGAGCAAGACTACATGCTCAATAACATAATTTATTTTGAAGGTAGAAAGTGAGGGGGCAAGAAAAGAAACATTAGAAGAATTCTTGATCAGGGGTGTATCACATTTTTACAATAGCCTTTTACATAGGACAGATTTTGAACAGCTAATAAAGCATCATGTACATTGCCTAAGAATGCTCCTTCAATTTGCACACAAGCACACTGTGACAGAACTTAATTCAGATATTACTGTTCTGTCATCATTGTAGAAATCAAGACTTTTGAAACAACTAGTGTTCTCCCCAGTTGTTTTTAAATTATGATCTAAGAAGCCTTCAGGTTTGTTTTTTGTTTTTTTTTTTTTAACTGTCTCCTGAGATTATCAAATAAAGAATCGTACTTTGCTCAAAGTTAAAACAAAACACCAACTTCTGAAATGGATCAATTACTTGTGCTGTGAACCACTCTAAAAACTCATCTCAAGAGATGAAATACATCTGGACACAGAATAATGTCACTTGTCATAGAAGATCTTGTAAAGCAGCAGAAAGGTCTTGTAAAGCAGCAAGTGCAGCCTGTTGTTGCTTTAAAAGGAAAGGACTGAGTTAGGTACATGCTCATGTCCATATTGAAATTTCAGCATTCATTTCTACACTACTGAAGCTTGTTAAACTTTTTATTTTTTTTTTTTTAATCTTCCAAGCCAAAGTCCCAGGATTACACACAGAAAGTGACAGGTAAAAGCTTTTTATCAACCAATTCCAGACATTTATTTTGGTCACTAATAGCATACATGTCTTAAAACTGGAGAGTTAAACATCATATTGATAAGACAGGACTTTGTGATCCCCTCAACACTGGCAGTTATGTTCAGTTATGCATATATACTCATGTGACATATGACTTTGGACACACTTCATAGATGAGAACCTCAAGATTCTGGACCTGGGGACAGAGTCAACAACAGCATCCAGGCCTACATGTCACAACTGAAGGCTGACTTCTCCCTTCATATTTTTCAAGTTCTCACAGCTCAATGGGTGACTGCAAAGTCTCTTTTCAATTTCCTGGCATTAAAGTTGAGAAGGAAGAGGATTACAAAGCATGACTTAAAGCACAACCATTACTCTGGGACAAAAAAACCTAAACAGAGCAGCAATAGGATCTACAGAACTTGAGGTAGAGAGGGTCTAGAATAACTGGAAGTAGTTGCATATGAAGTCCTTCACTACAGCCAGGTACAGCACCACACATCTGACAAGTACAAACAGAAGGAGGGGGCTGCTGCTGGTACATTCCTTGCTCCTGGAGTTCCTATAAAAAAAGCAAGCTTTTCAAGTCCCATATTCATTTATGTCGATTCTGTCAATAGATCAATTTTTTTTTAAACTGAAATTAAGTGTTTTCTTCAGACTTACTGGAAAGAAAGACCAGTCTTAGCATTTCTCCAAGCACTCATACACCTGGATTGAAACAAAGTACTTCTCTGTCACCAAGTGTTCCTATGCCAGCATTTCTCCCTCTCCCCATCACTATTTTCCCGTGAAATGCTGGTAATTGTAAATATCATTTGAAACAGGGTCACAACAGTCTTCTCCTATTGTTACATCCATAATTTGTAACACAGCATTGCTTTAAATCCCATCCTTTATATGCAGCTCTGTTTAAAGCCTCACAATAGAAGTGTAGGAATTGGCTGACTTTCCATTGAAGCAGGATTAAAACATCAAACATGAATCAGTATAATGGCCATCCAGAAAGCAAGTATCTTGCCAATAAAATAACCTTCATAGTGGACAATTAAGGACAATATTAAATCAGTGGCCACTTCAAGGATTGGCATTTAAGGTGAGCACTTATTAACCACACTTCTATCACTGAAACACCCCCAAATATTCCATCTTAGGGATACCTACAGATCTAAAACTTATACAGTAGAGGTACACACTTCTCAGAGTTCCATGTAAAACTACACAGCCCTTATACAAAATAAAATGTTCTAATTATTTGGTAGTCCTGATATACTAAACACTCCTGGTGCTCCAGTTCCTATAACCACTGACTTGACTTAACTATTGATCCCATTAAAAGTCTCAGGCATGTGTTAGAAGTTAGTAGCTTCAACATGGAGAATAAGAATAAAAAAGCCAAGCCTCCCCTTCTTCCTCGAAGTCGACTATTTTAGTGAAATAAGACTTTTGGCAGACTATTGAAGAAGTCTGATGGTAAGTCAAAACACTGAATTAGAGTTCCCCATAAAGCTTTCAGGTCTTTATTCTTCCAAGCAGCCAGGGGTACTAACTCCTTCTGGCTGCCTTGTAAAATAACAAAGAGGAATTGTAGTA